ACTGTTCAGAAGGTTTTCATTTTTTAACAGGGATGAGCCCCAAGTTCTTCCATAGAAACTGTTCAGAAGGTTTTCATTTTTTAACAAGCATGAGCCCCAAGTTCTTCCATAGAAACTGTTCAGAAGGTTTTCATTTTTTAACAAGCATGAGCCCCAAGTTTTTCCATAGAAACTGTTCAGAAGGTTTTTATTTTTTAACAGGGATGAGCCCCAAGTTCTTCCATAGAAACTGTTCAGAAGGTTTTCTTTTTTTTAACAAGCATGAGCCCCAAGTTCCTTCATAAAAACTCTTCAGCAGGTTTTAACAAGGATGAGCCCCAAGTAAGTTCTTCCATAGAAACTGTTCAACAGGTTTCCTTTTTTCTAACAAGGATGAGCCCCAGGTTCTTCAGCAGATTATTTTTAACAAGGATGAGCCCCAAGTTTCTCCATAAAAACTCTTCAGCAGATTTTTTAAACAAGGATGAGCCCCAAGTTCTTCCATAGAAAATGTTCAGAAGGTTTTCTTTTTTTAACAAGCATGAGCCCCAAGTTTCTCCATAAAAAATCTGCAGCAGGTTTTTTTTTAACATGGATGAGCCCCAAGTTTATCCATAAAAACTTTTCAGCAGTTTTTTTTTTAACAGGGATGATCCCCAGGTTCTTCCATAAAAACTCTTCAGCAGGTTTTCTTTTTTTAACAAGGATGAGCCCCAAGTTCAAAATGCTTTTTTATCTCCTGAGTAAGTTGCACTGTTAGGGGGTTTTGTTTGTGCTAGACATTTGTTTGTGCAAACAAAAAAGCTCTGGAATAATTCTCATCCTGTTGATTGAGTTAATAACATGGTTAATTAAGTTTGTACAGTTCTTATTTTTCCTTCCAGGTATTTTAATTTTATTTAATTTTCCCCTGATTTGTGATTATTTCAAACAAATCATAAAAATTAACTTGCTATCTGACAAATGTGCTTCCTGATAATTAAAAAATTCTTGGAATTAAAATAGACTTAATCAGAGCAGAGTGAAGGAGAATAAAGGAGGCTCGGGGAGACTTTTCCCTACAGCTCCTGCCAGGAGGAGACAGCTGGGGAGGGGATTTGGGATCATCCCAGGGAACAGGGACAGGAGGAGAGGGAATGGCCTCAGGCTGGGCAGGGCAGGCTCAGGGTGGAATCAGCAGGAATTTCCCCATGGAAAATTGTCCCTGGGAGTTACAGCTCAGGGCTCACTGATAAGATTTTGATAAGATTTTTGGGTGATTTTGATGAAATACCCAATCTAATCTAAACATATTTCAGTAATGCCAGGTTGGGTTTCAGTCCAGTTTTTCCATTGCATTGATGATCCTGGGATGTGATTCAGGACAAAAAGTTCCTCTCTGGGAGCAGGAGTTGTCTCCCCAGCAGTTATCCCGTGTTACTGAGTGGCTGCCATTCCCAGATTTTGGGAATGAATTGTTGGATTTTTCCATCCAGAAGAGAGGCATAGAGCTGAGTTCTGCCTTTGTCTGCACTGAGGGATTATAGGATATTTCCAGGAGGAATTGTTTCAAGGGAAAATTGAATTGGCCAGGGAGGTTTGGAGTGCCCATCCCTGGAGGTGTCCCAGGAATTCCTGGAGGTGGCACTCGGAGCTCTGGGCTGGGAACAAGGTGGGCATTGGGCACAGCTGGGACTCTGATCTTGGAGCTCTTTTCCAACCTCAGTGATCCTGGGATTTCATGAAGGAGTTCTGGGCCGTGATGTGATCATGGCTTTAATCCCAGCTGCTGGGCAGGTGGGTGCCCCTCCTCCTTCACCTGCATTCCAGAATGAACCCCCTGGAGAGCATCCCTGAGGCTCCTCCTGGGAGCAGAAAGAACAAAAAAGAGAGAAAAACAGCTTTATGCCCCAAGCTGGTGTGGCTGGGCGTGCTCAGAACATGGGATTAACATTCCCAGAGCTGCTGGTTAAACTGTGTGTGGGCTGTTTATGTCCAAATATACATTTATACATTTATCCTTACACTGACAGAGCTTTGTGAGCAGCCCCAGGAGTGTTCCCTGTGCCCAGGCAGACTGCCTGAACTGGTTCCACAGCTGGATTCTGGATAATATTCTGGGATCTCCTTTTCTGGGACAGTTCTGTGCTTGCAGAGAGAAAGACATGTAAAAACCTGGGGAGAGCTGTGTGTTCTTTTCCCTGTGTTCAGAGGCATCAAAGTCATTTAGAGTTGATTTTCCCAGTGATAGTCACTGATATTAAACCAGATATTTGGGCTAGGAATTGTTGGGTTTCTAGACTTAAAAAGTAAAGGGAGATTTGTGCTTCATAAAAGGTGTTTGAGTGAATAAGGTAATTCCCTGATACTATTCAGCTCTGCTTCTTTCCCACCTTCTTCAGTGATTATAAAACTGTAGCCTATCAGTATAATTTGGATTATTTTCAGTTTTTTGGTGCTTCATGATAACAAATTACTTAGAATATAGTTAATCTCCATTCTCTGGTGTTTCAGCAGCTCCTGTTTCTGTGCTCTCAGTGCCTGTCTGCTCTCCAGGGGCCTCTTGCTCCTGTATGGTTTTTGAACAGATCACGTTTCCTCTGTACCTGATAGCCTCTTAATTATTTAGCTAATTTATTAATTAAACTATTCAGGTAGATTGGCTAGACTTTATATGGGGCAAGCTAGACTCACTGTGTTCTCACACCGAGTATAATTAAAAGAAAAGGGTATTTTAAGGTTTTGGTGTAAGGTTTAGGTGTAAGGTTTGGGTTTAAGGTTTGGGTTTAAGGTTTGGGATTAAGGTTTGGGACTAAGGTTTAGATTTAAGGTTTAGATTTAAGGTATAGATTTAAGGTTTAAAATGCTGTTTAAAAGAAATAAGCTGTTTTAAGGACATATTTTTCAGGTTAGTTTGTGCTACGTTGAAGTTTTGTTTAAATTACAGCCTGCACGTAAAATACATATTTATAAACTGCAAGCTGTAGTTTCTAAACGTGTATTTGCAAATGCAGATGTGTGCTTCCCTCTCTCCAATTTGCTTTTCTCTCTCCCGTTTCTGTGGCTGGTTTGGTGGGGTTTTTTTGTGTTTTCTCCTCTCCCTGTGGGTGACATTTTCAGCCTTTCCAGTTGTGGCTTTGCTCACCCGCTCCCCGTTCCCCCTGCAGCATGGAGATGTATTTCCCCCAGAACGACTCGTGGATCGGGCTGGCCCCCCTGAGCATCCCCCGCTACGAGTTCGGGGTGTGTGTGCTGGAGCAGAAGATGTACGTGGTGGGGGGCATCGCCACCCACGTGTGCCAGGGCATCAGCTACAGGAAGCACGAGAGCTCGGTGGAGTGCTGGGACCCCGACACCAACACCTGGAGCTCCCTGGAGAGGATGTTCGAGAGCCGCAGCACGCTGGGCGTGGCCGTGCTGGCCGGCGAGCTCTACGCCCTGGGCGGCTACGACGGCCAGTCCTACCTGCGCAGCGTGGAGAAGTACATCCCCAAGGTCAAGGAGTGGCAGCTGGTGGCCCCCATGAGCAGGACACGCAGCTGCTTCGCCGCCGCCGTGCTG